TTACTCCTAAGACGCGTGAAACCACCTTTCGTACCAGTAATTGTAAGTATTAATTTATTAATTCAAATTTGAATACATAAGAGAGAAAGAAATTACATCTATTTTGTCATGGATAAATTTTAAATATCAGTTGAAATGTCAGAAATAAATTAGATATTTTTTTAAATGTAATATTTGCATGGAAATATTTCTCTGTTATTAGCATTCAGTGGAAGATGTAAGTAATTTCGATGAAGAGTTCACCTCAGAGAAACCACAACTAACGCCTCCAAAAGATCCTCGGCCTCTTAGCGACCTAGAACAGAGTCTATTTAAAGACTTTACTTATATGGCTGATTGGTGCTAGCCGTAATAATTAATAGAGATATTAATTATTACGATTAGTTTATGTTGATGTGTATTTTCCCCATGAGAAAATATCAACATAATGAAGAAAAAGTTGCTTCATGCTATAAAATCACGCAATCGGTGGTATTTACGCGCGTTTGTTTATCTGAGCAATATATATCATATGTCGTACATAATGTATAGATTTTTTATTTTGGATACTATGTTAATGATCATAGTAGGCACATTTACAAGAGAAATTTTTCAACCAAAGTGGTACATGAATGCAGCTCCATAAGTTGAGATCTATTCATTAGTGAGACTAACATCTCATCTAACTTCTCGAGTATAACCAGATGAATTGTAACTGTTGATGATCATTGGATAATTGATCAGTCGTATAACCAATCTCAAACATCATCTTGAAATCATCGAAGACATCCTGAATGTCTTCTGTTCGAACTAAAGTAATTGGTATGACAAAAGATATTTGTCTCTTATTTGAATATTTCAAAAACTGCCATTTTTGAACTAATTTCTTCGTTTTGTTACAACGATTACCAAGAGGCTAAAAACTTAAAAGATCTATATATCTTCTATTTGATATCACGTTCTCAATTTCTAATGCGGACGGATATAATTCTGGTGCTCTCGATTGCTCATTGTTTAGCGAATGGTTTCCCTAAACAAGGTATCTCTTCATATAGATTGTGAGTCTCTGTTGTAAGTGGCCCTCATAGTATCCGCCATGTTCATTAATAAGCTGGGTTAGAAGAATTGGAAATAAATGTTTTCTTATCATGAGTTGGGTTGTTCCCAGCACTTTCGGTTGCACGTATAGAAAGTTCGGGAACAGTGAAAAAAATTTTCCATCCATAAGAGAAAATTTCTTTTCTGGTTATTGATTTTTTGGTTATTTGATTGCTGAGTTTCGAAGATATAAACATGGTATTGGGTTGTCCAGAAAGTTCGTGCCGATTTTGAAGGAAAATTGAAACGCAGAAGATTTAACTTTTAGTATACATTTATTAAATTATATAGGTTAGTCGGCACGAACTTTCCGGACAACCCAACAATACAATAATAATCGTAAAATTGAAAACGCAATTTTGTAGCGCAACAATATATTAGTTGAAAATTCATCAAAAATGAGTCAATTCATTTCAATTTTTGATCTTTCTATTAATATAAATTGTATATTCAGATGGACCTCTTGCATAGACATTCCAGTCACAAATCCTGGATAGCCATTCTGAAGAAGAACCATCTTATATGACGAATGCAACTTAGTTGTTCATTGTCTTAGAAATCTGTCTTTTCTGGAATTGCTTTTTTAATTTGACTCTGGCAGTTCTTCAGACACTACAATTGCGTCAGAATCTTTCTAACTTTTTGGTTTCCCAAAATATGCTTTTTTTTTGTTTAGCCCTCATGGTAAATTAGAATGTTTTTGTAAATGTACTGAATGCTAGGAATTATATGGTGTTAATTATTTGTAAGGAACAATGCGAAAATATATAAAGTTTTCAGAGAATTCATCAAGAACATTCATCAAGAATCATCTTGTAATGCGAAGTTCGCTTTAGAAACTTCTTTTATCGAATCTCAGGTTTTCCACTAATGTTATGAGTTGTATGTACATTTTTAGTAAATAGTTGATATACATAAATTTACAATCTCTGGTTTGATACAAAATAATATTGTATGAATTTATGATCATATTTTTAAAAGTTAAGAGGTTCCAATTAATTCTTGTCAAGCAAAGGAGAAAGCGAATGAAGCCTATTAATCTTTCGACAAAGAAGTTTTTTTTTGCATATAACTGAGAATAATTTTAGATTACATTTGCAAAAGTGATCTCCAGACACTGTCCTGTTGCTAGTATTAAATAAGTACGGATGTCCTTTTGCGTGAAGATATATATTATTTTCAACGTTTCGTTATCTATATATTGCTAATTATGTACAGTAATACAAGCAATATTACTCAAAGATTTTATATATCCTTATGGAACTTAAAGGATAATCATAATAACAAAAATATTAACACATTCATTAAGAAAGCATAAAGTAAATCAAAATGTAGCTATACTTGTTCATGCTCATGTGATAAAGAATTGAAATTGAAATGGCGCTATGTATGTGCAACAACAATGATCATCTTGACAGTAATATTTAGCATTTCGATTAAACTAATCACATATTGTCTGTTATGATAATTGGAAATTTAATCCATATATAAGCTAATTTTGCAAGATTATGATGACGTTAGACATACATACGAGCCCTATGACATCATGTGAAGCAGCACATTAATATTATATATCAAAGTCCTTTAAGTTCGTTTAACATGTATCCCAATTACTATATTTCATCATTTTAATTATGTACACATTCATATTCTAGTTTATAAGATACTTTTACTAGTTCATGTGCTTCATATCATGTATATATAAATATATAACCAAAAGTGTCGAAAGAATAATGAATAATATTTCTATGTTCAATAGTTATTCGTGTAGTATTGTATGATCAATTTTAACTTTACAACAAATTATTATTGTAAGACGTGTCCACGTTTTACTATGAACATACTTGAACATCTTTTAAGATTCGATTTTAATTTTTGCAGAGAATTTGAAAGCTGTGTGTAATATTGAAGTAGCTATTAGATTTTACTTACGAAACTTTTAAATTAATTTTTCTTCTGATTATTACGGAACTCTTCTTTACAGATGCTATTATCTACATATTGTAACTTTAGTATTTAATAATTAATCCTTTATAAGATTTCGATCTTTCTGTAGAACTTTCACACATACACAATCTAATTAAAGGTAACCCATGATACACTTCATCCATCTCTTAAAAGGTGCCTACGAATCGAACAATTTTTGATATGTAATATGCAATAGAACTAGAAAAATCACTGACTATTATAGTAAGAAATAATCCAACATTGTATATAAACTTCTCGACCTGTCATTTATCTCTATATGTATGTTTTAGAATTAAAATTGAAAATTGAACTAAGGACTTTATAACGATGCAAATGAGATATTTCAAATAGAACTTGGTAAATGTATAACTTGATTATGATATAGTTATATTTAATTTTATTGTAGATTTGTTCAATTTGTCATACTATGAATTAAAATATAGTTAAATCTGATTTTGTTAATTGTAAATATCGATTGCTGAAATATTACTATCTATGTTAGTGAGATTTACTAAGTTTTATTTTCAATATTACTCTTTTTAATATTAATAAGGCGTAAATATGTAATGACCAGAATTACTTGTGAATTTACCTTGTGAAATTACCTTTTGAATCATGAAAAATTAACCGTGTCATTAGTGATAGATTCGAGTATCTCGAGATCTAGTTGCCTTACTGCAATTATAAATTTATATACATATATAACCATTTTGGTATCTATTTTATATATAATTCTTATACATGCAGGATGAGTTCAGATCTGAAGAAAAATATTTTAGGCATTCCTAAAATATTTTAGAAAATATTCCTAAAATATTTTCGGATCTTGAACATAATATACGACAGTGGAAGATAATTTGAAAAATATGAATAATTTTTAATATGCCTGTTTTCTATTAGTGTATATAAAGTTTTAAATCCGATTTTTTTTATATTATACAGCTCTGAAGTAAAGAATATAAAATTTATGAAAATTTACGTGACAACGCATTTAGTAGTAAAACAGGCAGAAAAAAATATATTGTAATTTGTGAAGTAATTTGAAATGGATCTTGCGTGGGAAAAAACCCTAATCTTTCATTAATTTAATAATAAAATTATTTACATTTCGTGAAAAGTAACATTCTAGATTCTAGATGTCCATTGTATGTTATTTTTGTATTTTACATAGCTGAAAAAAGCTATGCAATATCATCCTTTTTACGCTACTTTCAACTGCCGAAGTCTACAAATCTTTGAAAACTTTATCTTTTAAAACGATTTTAAATGATAAAAATATTTTTACATCAAATCATGTAGTTTTGTATATTTTCCGTTTTATAATGTGTAAGTTGGTATACGTTAGAAGATGGCATCGTGTGTGAACAAATTATTTTTTCCACTGATATACGCAGCTTTTTACAGAAAGAATTAAATTATTTAATTTTATGGAATATATGTATGGTCCAAAATGCGATAATTTAAAATTTTTATGTACATATATACAAACATCCTATGATGTTTTGTAGATAGATTTACTCTTGATTTATAAAGATTTATTAGATTATTATTTCGTTATACGTATTTTTTTATAACATAATTACATAGAAATTACTATAGATGTAAGTTTGGTTAAAATGTTCGCTATCATTAGTTTTATAATAAGGAAATTTATGTGCCTCGTATTTTGTAGTGTCTACTAATAATACATGGCTAGAGATGAAATTTTTTTAAAATTAATTTATTTGATTCATATATTTGCAGTGGCAGCTTATCACATATCACTTTAAACAATTACGCAATCCTTAGAAGTATTCTTAAAATCCGCATTATATATGTGAATTACTTTAAAAAATAAATATTAAAAATATACATTTCTCCCTATTTTTAAATGCACCTTCTCTAATAAATATGGTTTACTTTTTTATTGCAATGAAAATTATTTTATTATGTTCAACAAGAAAAATTACAATATATTCATATTAGAAGGTTTATTTCCAACGTGTCAGTACTTTTTACGTGTTTAACTGTTATGTGTTTGATACATAAGTTGTAAGGTGTGTAATAAAAAAAGATAAATACCAATATACAGACAACAGACATAGATGAGATCAAAATTATAAATTAAGTAAAAGAAAAGTATCATAATATCTCCACACTAGAATGTTCAATATTCAAAGAGTTTGTAGTATTTAAATCAATTTGTTCGCTAGTTTCGTGAGTAGAACTTAAAGTCTTTGCTAATTCACATAAATTTGATGTATTCCTTCGAATTTCACTTTCCAAGTTAAATATCTTTTCAGCTTTTTCTTTTTGTTGTTTACTCGTTTCTGGTGTAGCTGGTTTTGAGAGGCCAGTGGTCACTGTATAGAAAACACTGCTGCTATCTTCCGATTTAAATACGAATGTTAATCTGTTGAATCAAATTTTGTTACTTAGAAATATAATATTAGGTATAGTAAAAAGAAATCCATTATTTTTCCATTCAATTTCATGCAAAAATAATGGATTTCTTTTTACTACATCTAATATATATCCATTATTAGGTCAGTTCTTTTTTTAGAATGAATTTTTTTTAGAAAGAAAGGGAAGAAAGATGAATCGTGCAAGAAGTTCAACTAAAAAGAACAGGAATACAACGTTACAGAAATATCAAAGATACGAAAATTAATAATGAAATAAAATCGCAAAATTACCGTTTATTTTGCAATAATTGTTGCATTTTCTCAATCTTGTCCAAGCAGATGTTGTATTTCGTTGGCCAAGGCACATAGATCTCTGCCTGAGAATTCTCCCTTTTCTTCACTTCGAAATAGATCACGTCAAGTTCTTCGTTATACTTGTATTTGACATCCCAGTATCGCTTCACTGAAAAATCGTCACAAGAATAGATTTCACATTTACCATCCCCTTAAGTTAAATACAATACCTTCGCATATTTCAATGTAGACATAAAAGGCGGTGCTCGTTTTTATCGCGTCATTACAGCCAAGTTTGCACAGATGATAATACTGCAAGCGTACATTGAGAACGATTGCAAAATAATCTTACGTACGAAATATTTATACATACATAGGCATGCACATTCTCGGACTAAAGAGATCGCACATTCTTTATGATATCGCACATATCTTTTTGATTATCCGAGTAAAACGATTACTCACGCTGGGATGGCATATGTCGTACATCTTTCTCGTGCACGCGAGACGCAGGAGTGAATGTCTCGTTTTTTTTTCGGTGAGAAACCTACTTGTTGTTAATTGTCATCACAGCTTGGGAAAAGAGTATCAATGGGAACCAGCACATGTGTTCAATGCAGTCCAATGCACTGACAAATAGTTCCAAGTTCCAACTGTTCCAACCTTCCAAATCATCCTCACCCTCCACTACCTCTGGTGTCACATCGTTCACATACTTCTTTTCACACTTGTTCCAAGCTTCCACCAGTTTCTACATCCTTCACTAACCTCCCTTGTGGGATGAGTCCATCTGGCGTTTAAAGTTAGAAAAAATATACGGCAAAAGCGTTACCTAAGGAGAGAACGACTTGCTTATCTTTCGAGTTGAAAGTTTCTCTTAGTCGTGCAAGGATGTCGCTAGAACACACATCGAAGATATAACACAACGAAATTAATAAAAGGAGAAGTAAAAGTTAAAACTATAAAGCTGGATTTATATAGTTTGTCTAAAACGAAGTTAGATTTTCTCGAATTTTCTTCATTATAATTGAGAAGCGTCCTTGTCCTCTTTCTTTTAAAGAGAGACAAATACGAACTTTTTATTTAAAGTTCATCCACAGTGAGAACATATGATGAAAATACCATTACCACAATCAAAATGATCTGATTCGGAATTGAATTATTCTTCAATGTATTCTAATCGCGGGGAAAAGCCCCTTGTCGTGAAATGTTCAGAAATAAAATTTTCAAGTTCTTCGATAGAAAAGGACGAATCTAAAAATTCAAAAAAAACTAGAAAAGAAATCTGTAAAACATGTTGAAGACGTTAAAGCACTTGAAACGAGCATAAATAACATTGAAGAAGCTCGTGAATTAAGAAAAACGGATAAAGATATTCTAGGTGAGTTTCTGTTTGCTACATTCAGACTTGATATTCTTCTTCCAGAGAAGAAAAAGGATTTTTTTCAAAAATTCACTGCAAAAATTGTTGCAATTAAATGGTGTCCATGCGAAAACACCAATACATTTGCAGGAAAGATGACCTCTATCTTCAAGCTCTAACTATAATGCAATACATCATGAAACTGAAGTTTTCTGATTTCTTTTTAAGCTAAATATCTTCATGAAGACATTGATTGCAAAGAAACAAACATAGTATGAAAAAAGTTAAACATTATAATCCCTACGTGCTCTCAATTTGTTGAACTTACTCAAGTTGCTCATGATATTGCCTTTTATTTGAGATATGATCCAAAGTTTTCTCCCTATTTAAAATGTTTTGAAAGACTCAAATTTTATATCAAATTAACATCTCTGGAGGAAGGTCATAAGCTTTGAGAAGATCATAAGAATAATTAACATAAATAACTCTGGCCTAATATAGATATACTTTCAGAAGTTAACATATCGTCTCACGAGATATTAAAACAAATATTAAATTTCATAAATCTCTTCCAAAGATCTATGAAATTTAATATTTGTCTGGAAGAAATCATTTATCTATGATAAAAATATTTAAAATTAGATCTTTTATTCTCAGAGCCATTCGTTTTATTCTCAGATAATAATCTCTATTTCAACAATCCCAATTACAGAAGAAATTGTAAAGAAGACATCATTCATGGAAAAATGGAGATTATACAGAACTTTGAATTAAGGTAGGAAAAATCATTGTTCAAATAGGAAAGGAAAAATCATTGTTCAAATCTTGATTCTGCAATTCCTGTATAATTTCCGTTTCTCATTAATGATATCTTCTTTAATGAGAAGATATCACTCTTTGAATTTAGAACAAGAAAACAACATAGCCGTTCTTGAGATTGAATTTCCATCGTAATTTAAAAGAGACCCTTTATTCTAGAAAAAGATTGAATTATATCAAGGAATCCTAGAAAACGGACTACTAACTTATTTCAGTTAATGTGATTTTGTGTGTACACACACACACACACACACACACACACACACAAAATATAATTTTTATTTAATAATTTTTACTTTATTTTACAAAATATAAATTTATTTGATGCATACAGTTCAAAACATGCAGGAATAAAAAACGGACTTTATGTGGAATTATATCTCTAATAACAAAAATACTTATTTTAATTTACTGTTTAATTTATTTTTTAAGATTTATACTTTAGTTATATTGTTAGCATTCTATATTAAATTTTTAACTTAAAATATTTTTGTTTCCTTTATTATTTTTTTACATTCTATATTATCTTGTTTTATTTTATATAACAATAATTTTTGGCTTATAGCTCTCTTTTTTCTTTATTTTCTTTAGTATGTGTGTTGGTTTCTTTTCTTATCCGTATTCTACGAAATATATGTATCTAATAAAATAAAAATACTCTTCTTCTGATGTTTTATTATGTTTATTTCTTTAAGATTTACACTTGAGATTTCTTTTTTCTTAATCTATAAAGTATATTTTATGTTCCATTTGACAGATAAAACAAATGAAAATGAAAACAAATACCAATTTATTAATGTAGCCGTATCAAATAAAGATCCTTGTGTTTTTCATAATAAAAAGGTAGAATAACGAAGATTGTTTTATTGAAAATTATCCAGCAAGGTAATATACACTAATTTTTTGGCTAATAAACTGACTTAACAATGGTAAAATTATAGAGAATCAAAAAATTAAATGACTATGGAATTAATTATAAAATTGTAGCAACTATAAAAAGTATATATAAAATACATATGCCACAATAAGCTCGGATATTGTTCATCTTACAAAAAGAAGCAATTTGTATATTGTTAGTGTAGTATGTGTATATCAATCTAAAATACATCTCTTCTACATATACCATATGTATGGTATAAGAGATAAAAGATAAAATACTTCAATGTAATCTCAAATGTGATGTTTATTGCTTAAATGATATAAAATGCGATATAAATAATAACTGTCGCTCTGTACGCTTATTAATACAACGTTTAACATTTCTTATTGTTAAGTATGCATAGAAACGTTTCTGCGTTAATAAAATAAATCTTAAGCGTTAATTATCATACAATTAAGCACCGAATTGTTTAAAATTTTATGCGTAAAATGCTAATATATGAATATATGTAATATGTACAACGATGGCAATGTCGTGAATGCAGACATAGAAATCGTACATATGAAACGTATGAAAAAATTTGTTCTGTAAATTTAAAATATATTTTGCGATTTCTATTGTGATTTTTATATATA